TATTTCTGCCTGGGCGATGTTCGATTTCATAATGGAACTCTTCTAACAAAAGTGCCCATCTGGCTACGCGTATACATAAATCTTTTTTCGACATTGTTTGAGTGAATGCGCGGCAATCGGTGACAATCTTAAAATTTATGCCAAGCAGATACACTCGAAATTTTTTCAACGCTTTAATTATTGCGAGAATCTCAAGCTCATAGCTTGGATACTTTTCTTCTTCCGGAGTGATTTTTCCGCTCGCATAATACATCGGATGCATCGCATGGTCTTCACTATCACGCTGCAACAAAATTGCACTGTACCCGTGCATCGAAGCATCGGTATGCAGCTTGGTTTCCACGCCTATCTTATATAAATTCAATACAAACTTATTTATCAATATCAGCTTTAATTGCTCAAACGCGTCTTTTTCCTCCTTAAATTTAAATGTCGTCACAGCTTTCAGCAAATTCGTCAACGGTCGCGCAATTATACAATAGAATAACCCGGTACGAACTTCCGGAAATATCCTGTCAAACCTAAAAACGACTGAACCGTATGCACGTAGACATCGGGAATTTCCTTACGGCTTCTGTCTTATGTTCTGACGGACGAATTTTACCGCTTTCGACAATATGGCTTAAATATTCGACATTCGTCCGCAAGAAATTGCACTTTTTCCAATTAATTACCAAGCCATATTGACTGGCCACGTCTAACGCGCTTTAATTTCTTTAACGCTGTCTCGGAATCGATCGAGGGTACTATCAGGTCGTCCATATAAACTAATACGTCTCCGTCGCGAATAAGATCTCTAAACACGGCATTCACGAATTTCTGAAAAACAGCGGAAGAATTACAGAGTCCGAATGATACTCTGAGGAATTCATAATGCCCGTCAGGAACTATAAACGCGGTATACTTCATGCTAGACTCATCCATTTTCACGTGAAAAAAACGTTCTTTAAGTCGAGCGTACTAAATATCCTCGCGTCTTGCAATGCATCGAGTTGGTCTTCGATCAGCGGTAAGGGATATCGATCTTTAACGACTTTCTTATTAAGCAACCGATAATCAACACAAAGTCGATTCGTGCCATCTCTTTTCTTCGCCAACACTACCGTACTTGCATAATCAGATACGGACGGTCGCACAATATCATTCTTTAACCATTCGTCTATCTGCGCGTTTACTTCAGCTCGTTCGGCCATTCCTAATCTTCTTGGCCTAAAATAAATCGGTTCGTCGTCTTTTAACACAAGTTTCATTTCGATACCTATCTCACGAGTCTGATTCAGCTTATAATCGTGTATTAGAGACTGTACAATTCGTCTGTGTTCGGCGTTACATATATGTGACACATCCGCGACATTCACCTCTCAGTCAGAGATTATGTTTATCTGACAGATTTCTGCGAAATCACGCTCGTCGTTAGCATAGTCCGCCGGTTTTACAATGGTAGGCTTTCCGCGCTCTAAATTCACATTCCCGGTATCAAGGAAATCATTACTAATCAGTAATTTGTATCTCGTCAAATTATCAGCTACAATATAAATCGGAATTACATAACAATTTCCGTCGACTGTTAGCTTCGCGTGAAATCCTCCGTTCGTAACATTTTCCTCCGTGCCTATTCCTCGGAACGGCGTCGCTCCTAGCTCAAACTGCGGAAATCCTAATTTAACATATTCGTCTTTACGCATTAATAAATAATATCGCTACCCGAATCTATAATCGCTTGCATCGCAACGTCATTAACTAGCACATCTTTGAGTCGTTTTTGTCGATGCGACTGGGTGATCGCACAGCTGTTCTTTGTCGCATTCTTATTCGGACATTTCGACGCTATATGCCTGTATTCGTTGCACCCGAAACACTTGACACCTTTTTCCTTCGTTGGACAATTCGAACTCACATGATCTTTCGATCCGCAACTAAAACAACGCTTTGTCGTACCACGATCTTTTCTCTCTTTTGAGTCCTTTCCGTCGCTCAACGCACCTTTCTCACTCACAGCACTCTTACCACTCTTATCGTTCTTACGCTTTTTACCGTCATCGTTCTTCAAGTTCACCGCCATCATACGCTTTTTACCGTCATCGTTGTTCAAGTTCACCGCCATCATACACCACCATCGGATACACTTTGTCTTTTAGCGATATTTCTTCGAAAGTTTGCAAAATTCCATCTTTCGTCGTGAATCCTTGCACCCGCGCTAAGTCGCGCAAGTTTGGATCTGGGATGCCGTCGACTATGTACCCCAGGATCTTGTCGTCTGGAATAGCAATACGATTCGCTATTATCGTCTTCTCATGCACATAATCGTAGAACGTTTCGTTTTTCTTCCAGCTCCGCTTCTCGAAGCGTCGTCTCATTGCTATTATGGTACATTCGGTTGATGGTAAAACATACTCCGCAATCCGTCGAGTATCGCATTGGGCGTTATCTCAATATTCTCTTGTTTCGAATGGAACCATTCTGACGCGCGTCCTTTCAGTCTCATGCCAATCAAAATTTTCGTCAGGTCGTCGTTTAATTTATACACGGCACTCAAGAATTTCACCTGCTTCTCCCACGTCTCGATGGTCTCAGCGTCGCCATCAAAATAACTCAATAAATCTGCCACGGCATTGACATTCACTCTTGTTGACCTTATGAGTAGATCATTTTCTTCACTAGGCAATCGTTGATTCGCGTTCAATGCTTCTCCAAAAATTTGATTAATATCGGACGTATTTCTACTTGACGCTCCTAGGCACGTTCGTTGCGCCGCCACTTTGCATCAAGCGTAGCAACTCGATCTCGCGTTGCGCTAATACAAAGTTCTCGCTCAGCCAATTCTTTTTCCCGTCGATAGATTTCTATTTCTCGTTGGTAAACTTGCGGTTCCTACCGATCGTTCAATTCTTCTCGTGATTGTTGCAATCCTTCGTTTCCATGAAACGGTCCCCCGTGATTACTATCGTCATTTCCACTCGTCAGGTTCATCGTCTCTTCGGCTCTTGTGCTTATCGTCTGCATCCATCCGCCACTCGGATCGTCATTCGTCAGACGACTTATAAGTTCGAATTTCGTTCCTGCTGTGCTCAGTCCTCTTCATCTTAGGACTTCTTTAAGCACGGCCACACTGAATGTTTTCGGGTCGGTTCCGTCCATCGCTCGTCACCTCCTGCACCGTTCGTCGCACTACGTCGTTCTCGTTGTATTATGCGTCGTATTACATTCGATGACGATTGCGTCGTCTTCGCGTCGCACCAATGTATTCGTAACCGTTGTATTTAAAATTGTTCTTTGTTTTCGTCGTATTACACATCGTATTACATTCGGTGACGATCGCGTCGTCCTCGCGTCACACCAATGTATTCGTAATCGTCGTACTTAAAATTTTTCGTCGTTCTCATCTTATTATCTCGATCGCGATCGCGTCGTTTTTCGCGTCGCACTCAGATATTCGTAATCGTCGTAAAATCGTTCTATCTTCGTTAAGAGCCTACGTCGTAACAATATTCAATAATCGTCGTACTGACCTTCGTAATAGCATTCGTTTTGTGACACGCACACGTCGTATTCGATCGTCGAGGTTTTCGAACCGTTTGCTTTTCGTTCGTCCGTCCTTCACCCGTTGTATTTGATCGTCGGGATTTCTCTTTGTCGTTTACTTTCCACTCGCGCTACTTCGCATGTAGTCTATCCCGGACGAGTCCCCACGCTGTAGCGGCACTTACTTTGCCGTTATTTTTCTTTTCACATTAATTTATTTGATTATTGCACGGAAGATTTTAAGTATTTCCGTGGGATCAGGAAAGATCGGGCTACAAAGCAACACACTGGGGAAAAACGTTAAAATGATTTAATGAAGGAATAATCAAAGAAAGTACAAACGTAATAGTCTCGATACAAATGTTCACAATAGTCTCTCGATTACATTCTTCTTCGAAAAACGACCGGCGTTAACGACGGTTAGAGAACGACTCCCTGTAAAGCTCGTTCTCTCTCGACAACATATTGCGGATCGTAGGTGACCGTTCATTCGGAAGTATTTACATTTTTGTAGGGGCCGTTTTGCGTTAACTTCCTACAATAACAATCTCCGGTAGAGGCATAATATGGCGGAAAATTTAAATTAAAATTTGTCCGAATTTTAGTGACGCACCCTGTATATATACAACCTGTATATATCCCGAACCTCCATAATGACTCTTGGTGATAACGTAGAACGGATTGAGGTGAGCAAGAAAATCCTGTGCCGTTTTGCGATATACGTAATAATAGTCGAGATATTAATTAAAAAATATTGATGAATGATCACGCGCGATATGGTAGATGAGCTGTAGTGGGGCCGTCTGCCGTTATATATTAAGTCAAACTGAACAAAAAAATTCTCTACCACTTTGCAAATGACCATATAGATTTTTAAATATTAAAGAAAATTGTTACATATATGATTGTATATCATAATGCATAAATTTTCTTTAATTAATATCTAAAAATCTATATGGTAATTTACAAAATAATAAAGGATTTTTTTGTTCAGTTTGATTTAATGTACAACGGTAAGTATACAACGACAGACGACGCCACTGCAAATTACGTATATCGCAAAACGGCACAGGATTTTCTTGCTCACCTCAATCCGTTATCACCAAGGGTCATCATGGAGGTTCAGGACACCCTGTGTGTGTGTGTTTCAATTAATTTGTAGATTTTTCTGTATAATTATATACATAGCTAATTGATTTATTTTTAGCAATATATTTTTTTAACATTACATGTTTAATGTGTTTTTATTAACATTTTGGTACTTTTTGTTGTACATGTGTTTGTATGTTTTTTATATACTCGATGTTGTTTTTACCTTTTCAATTTTCTTAAAAACAAAGTTTTATATGGAAAAATTTCTATGTATATTCTTGATTCATTTTTGAATCAAGAATTATCTTTTCAATAGTACTACAATTTGTGGTACATCTTGTATATATAAATTTAAATTTTATTATGTTTTGTGAATTATTTTTCAGCTGAGCGTATCTGCAAAATTACTATCTGGTAATGACTACAGTTTAAAATTAGATTTGGCTCATCAAATAATAGCTGAACAATGTTCACACAAAATATTATCATCTAAAATAGAAATCAAACTAAAAAAACGAAATGGTATTAGATGGAATACATTAGAAGGAAATCTAGTTGAACAAAATGTGCAACCTATATCATGTGGTAAGTTGCAAATTCTATATATTTTGTTATTTTATAGTGAGGACTCGAATTGGAAAGTTTCAATTACAGTCTAACAAAATACTTAAGGCTCCTGATTACTCGCCACGGAAATTCTTGGACACATAATTCTTGATTGATGACGTCTGAAGTGAGAAAATACATGCCTAAAATTTCTGCATATTATTTTTAAATGAAAAATTATTTATATGAAAGAATATTTGAGATCGAGCATATATGTAAAAAGCTGCGAAAAACTATCTTTTTTTCTTGACGATCACAATAAATAGCCAAAAAATTAATACGACATGTAATCTTTCTTTTTAATTTTATCTCTTCTGATGATTCTGCTACTTTATTTTAAGACTACTTATTAATTGTCAAAAGTAAAGAATAATATTCGAAGCATTTCACTAATTTGCTCAAGCGATCTGAAATGTTCTTTTATTCAAGTATTCTTTTATTTGAAAATGATATGTAAGAATTTTGCATATGCTGCAACTATATTATATTACAATAGTAATATATTACAAATAGTTATTTCGAAACGTTTTATAAAATAATAGTATTTGTTAATATAACACGTAACTTAAATTATTAATCTCCCTCTCTGAATTGGTTGCAGATTTACCAACCTAAGTTATCATATATGTTTCGCAAGTACTAAACGTGCATTTTAGATCTGAATTAGTTAAGTCACTAGATTTCATCTTTCCGCCAGCAAGTTTGATGGCGAAAAAGTTCACGTGAGAAGTTTCACGTTTCCACGTTTTGCCGAGTTACGTAATCATATATTCACATGAAATTTTTCATTTTTCGCCATTCCGTCAGGGGAAAAGTTACATGATCGCTCTGCCTAGTATTCAAGAATCTTAATTATTTTTAATGTTTTACTAATAAAATTACTAGAATTTATATTTTTAATCATAAAATTACTAGAGTGGTTTACATTTTGGTTTTTTTCTGTTCGGTTTTTTTTATTGTTTCTTTATTCAGCATTTCATTGAATTACGTACTCATACAGGGATGCTCATTCAGATTTCCTACCCGGGTGCACTCTATTACTATAAACACTATATTATATGTTACAAATATTATAGCACTTCTAGTATTAGAGTGCACCCGGGTAAGGAATCTGAACGCAGCCCTTGATAGTACAATAACTCTGCTTCTCTCTCTTCCTCACCACTGCTATCTCCACTATTTCAAACGATATAGGCAAAAATTTTCCTATAAAGACTATAGTTTTGAAGAAGACATAACTTAATGACAATGAATCTTTTATGAATGGAAATATGTAGAAGATTTCAAGGTTATTTTAAATTTTGTAAATAGAATCATATAATTTTTCTAATATAAATTTGCTCTGATCATTCTGATAATTGCTCTGATCATTGTGATCATTCAGATCATGAAATTACAGAAATAAAATTCTGGAGAAATGAATACTTTCTGACATTTTTCATTTTAATCTTATACTTTTAGAACAAGATATACAATGTCTCGTAAAATATTTACTTTTCGATAACCTTCATACCTTTGTACGTAAAATGACAGATGAAACCGACTGTTGTAAAAAATACACAGAGAAATTTTAATTAAATTTCCGATGTATCAATATATTAAAAATTAATATCACTAATTGATTTCTGTTATTCTACATATGAAAGCATTTAGGCGAAGTTGTTGAAAAGTATAATTTACGAGATATTTTATATTTTGTATTAGAAAGTATGAGAATAAAATAAAAGATATTTCAGAAAGTATTCATTCTTTAGATTTAATCTCACAAGGAGAACACCAGGTGATTGCTCCGGGGATTTTGATGCGCTTTTTACAGGCTGTTCTTGGGCGAAAAAAAAACGACACTTGTCCGGCCGTTTCAGCTAATGAGCCATAGTTTCGAAGAAATTGATTTTTAAAAATGACTCTAGTCAGCCGCAGCACACTTAATATGTTTGACCACTATTGAACAGCAGCAACGGTAGCGCAGTAAGTAAAACGTTGACTTCGTACAAAGCAGGTTGTGTGTTCAAATCTCGTCCCGTGCATTTTTTTTATTAAAAATTTGTTTTTATCTGTAATTATTTATATTATTGTAGATACGCACGAAAAAGATTATTTAATTGATATATTTTTTTGTAAATGAAATTTTAAAATTTTTAAATAATTGTAATAATTTTAAAAATCTGTATAAAGAAATATTATTATCTTTATAAATTTTATTTTAATTTAATGTTATTAATTTTTGTTACTTTTTGATTGTAATGAAAGTTTATAAATTTTTAAATTAATAGATAATTTGTTCTTTTATTTTTCTTTTTTTCCTTATCAATCACGCAATGATAAACAAAGGTTGTGAAGCTTGTGCCGACATGTCACTCTTTAACGATTCTGTATTATTTGAGAAAATTATTAGAAAATTTTTCATTATGTCGCTCGTGATCACTCACGATATTATTATATTTTTATTATATTTTTATTTATACGTCCATATAAATAACAACAATGACAACGACGGTAATAATAATTATTCCATACATGAATATTTCATTATTTACTAATTTGTAAATTTATAAAATTTTATTAGAATTAAAAAGTAATAAAAATTAATAACATTAAATTAAAATGAAATTTATAAAGATAATATTTCTTTATTCAGATTTTTCAAATTATTACAATAATTATTTCAAAATTTCACTTACAAAAAAATATATTAATATAATTAAATAATCTTTTTCGTGTATATCTATAATAATAATATAATAATAATAATCTAAATTATAATTTGATTTTTTAGACTTTCGCGGTGTCCATGCATATTAGATTTGGTTTGAGCTGCGTGAATTCATCTTTGTTTGATTCCGACGTTTCGCGATGCCGCATCGGGTCGTTCCTCCCTGATGAAGCGGACTGAAATGTTTGCGAAACGTCGGAATCAAACAAAGATGAATCCACGCGGCTCAAACCCGGAAACCAAATATAATATAAATAATTACAGATAAGAACAAATTTTTAATAAAAAAAAATGCACGAAACAAGATTTGAACACGCAACCTACTGTGTACGAAGCCAATGTCTTACCTACTACGCTACCGCTGCTGCTATTTAATAGTGACGATCGAACGTATCGTGTGCCGCGGCTGACTAGAATTATTTTTAAAAATCGATTTCTTCGAAACTATGGCTCATTAGCTGAAACGGCCGCAGACGTGTCGTTTTTTTTCGCCCAAGAACAGCCTGTAAAAAGCGCATCAAAATCCCCGGAGCAATCACCTGGTGTTCTCTTTGTCAGTACATACAGAATGTCATAAAAAAAATTGACTTATATTAGAAAAATTATATGATTTTATTAAGAAAATTTAAGATTTCTTTGAAAACTCTATACCTCCAATCATAAAAGAATCATTATCGCTATGTTAAGTCTCCTTCGAAACTATAAAACTTTTGTAGGCAATATTTTCTTATTTTGTTTGAAGTTGCAGAAATATTTGAGGTGAACAGAATTATTGCCTTACTTCGTATGCAGGGTGTCAGAACAATCTTCGAAGTTTTTGTAAAGGTATAGTATGGATTAAGGTGAATATAAAAGTACTATTTTGCGATATTCGCAATAATTATCGAAATATTAATTAAAAAATATTTGTGAATGATCACGTGAGATATAGTAGATAAACTGTAGTGGCGACATCTGCCGTGTGCTTGTGCATTAGGTCAAACTGAACAAAAAACTACTTTTTGAACAAAAATCTACTTTGTAGATTTTTAGTTATTAATTAGATAATATTAATATATTATTGCAAACGACTATCCGCCAATTTTCTTTAATTAATAATTAAAAATCTACAAAGTTATTAGAAAAATAGTAAAGGATTTTTGTTAATTTGACCTAATGTACAAGCATACGATCGCCACTACATATTGCATGATCATTGAAAAAACTTCTTTAATATCTCGTTGATTATTGTAAATGTCACAAAATAATGTAGAACTTTTCAATCTGTACTGTACTTTCACGAGTTTCGAATGTTCTGGGATACCTTATTACCTTCTAGGATACAGGATTTTAATTTATCCACTAAAATATTTTAAAAACCGTAGTTTTAGAAGGAAATTTTTTAAACAAAAATTATAGAAATTCGAAAGGAGAAAAATAATATTTATTTCATATAAGTTTGGAATATCCTGTCAAGGTAAAATTTAATTTTTTAAACGGAATCTTTTTTTTACACAAATCAATTTCTCTTATTATTCTGCGTATAAAAGTACCGGGACAAAATTGTCGGAAAATGAAAATTGATGTTGAAAATGAAAAGTGATGAATGATTTTTAGTACAAAATATATGATACATCTTATAAGTAGGATTGGGAAAGTTGCTTTTTAAAAGTAACTAGTTACAGTTACAGAGTTTCCTTTGCTGAAAATGTAACTAGTTACAGTTACAAGTTGCTGGCTATGAAAAGTAATTCGTTACAGTTACTTAAAAAGTAACGAGTTGTTACTTTTAAGTAACTTTCTTTAAATGAATGTAAATTAGTATTGTAAATACAAAAACTTTACATTTTAAGCTTTACTAAAATGTAAGAATTGAATTTTATAATTAATATCTATCACATTAATTAGTCTATCCATTTAATAAATTTCAAATATGTACTTAATATAATAAAAATTTAATGATAGTCTTGTAGAAGTAAAAGAATTTAATCACATGCTCCATAAATATGTTCATAAATTTATCAAATTAATGTACGATTACTATACAGGGTATCTCATTTTAAATGCCCCAGACAAAAATCTCGAAAAATATAAAAGATACAGAAAAATGTTTCAAATAAAAGTTATATGATTCGACAGAGAACATAAGAAGGTACCATTGGTTGACATTGGGTTGCGCTGCCAAGGTCAGGTCAAGGTCAACTTTTCTTTTTTAAATAGAAACATTTTTTATTACGAAATTTTACGTAAAGAGAGAACAATTTTTGTTTGAAAAAATTTTTATATG